ATCCTTTTTTTTTTTCAACCACACAGTCTTCATTTAAAAGTTCATTTTCTTGGGGGGTAGGGGACAGGAGTAAAAAGCAAACTGCAATTAATTAAAAGGTGAAAGGGTAGTGGTGGAAGCAGCAGGGCCCTCCTTCCTAAAGGTTTTGGTCATAGATGGCTCATCCACCTTGGTCTCTTTCTGCCTCCAAAAAACGTTGGTTAAGTCCAATCAGTCCTAAAATAAATCTCTTAAAGAGAAATGCCTTGCCATTGCTATGAAGGGGCCCAAGAATGCCATTCTCAGAGGGCCTCTCACATTATTTTCAACAATGATAACATCTCTGGCATATCTTTAATTCTGGGGAAATACAGACTCAAGTAAGTCTTTGTTCGGCTCAAGTCCAGGCATACAAAGTATTCCGCCATTTGACGTCAGTCCGTCCCAATGTTGGTGGACAAGGTACTGGTTTTTCCTGCAGAGGGAAAGATCATTAGATCCAGAGAGAGGTCTCCGAAGCTTAACAAAGACTCACTACAATGAAACCTAAGTCCTCCGGGATTCTCGTCTTGACAGATTAGGGGAGCCCGTCAAACCAGGGTCACTCTCAGGGAAGGCGTCTGAGAGTTCAGGAACCTAAACAGTCATCAACGTTAAAGTGTTTAAGAATCACTTGCAGGATGGTGATTAACAGGAGAAAGGGGGTGGAGGTAGGGAAGGGTAAAGGGGGGTCAAACATATGGTGATGGAAGACTGGGCACACAATGCAATATACAGACGATGGATTATAGAACTGAACACTTAAATCTATATAATGTTATTAACCAAGGTCACCCCAAATAAATCGGGAAGGGTAAAGGGGGGTCAAACCTATGGTGACGGAAGACTGGGCACACAATGCAATATACAGACGATGGGTTATAGAACTGAACACTTAAAACCTATATAATGTTATTAACCAAGGTCACCCCAAATAAATTTAATTTTTAAAAAGTCACTTGCACCTCTTTCACTGCTGGTGGGAATGCAGACTGGTACAGCCACTGTGGGAAACACTATGGCGTTTCCTCAAAAAGTTAAAAATGGAACTTCCATTTGACCCAGTGATCCCACTGCTAGGAATATATCCCAAGAAACCAGAAACACCAATCAGAAAGGATATATGCACCCCTATGTTCATAGCAGCACAATTCACCATAGCTAAGATCTGGAAACAGCCTAAGTGCCCATCAGTAGATGAATGGATTAGAAAACTGTGGTACATCTACACGATGGAATACTATGCTGCTGTAAAAAAGAAGGAACTCTTACAATTTGCAACGGCATGGATGGAGCTGGAGAGCATTATGCTAAGTGAAATAAGCCAGTCAATGAAGGAAAAATACCACATGATCTCACTCATTCATGGATAATAAAGACCATTACAAACTTTTGAACAATAATAGATACAGAGGCAGAGCTGCCAGACATATGTACTACTATCTGTAATACTTTAAACAATAAAATAAAAAAAATTTTAAAAAGTCACTTGCAGAGCTAGCGACATCGGCAGATTCCCAGGAGAAGTAGTTGTTTAACTGGCTGCCGAAGGTTTCCTTGTGGACATGCGGCTCTCAGAGATCGCGAACTCTACGTAACCGAGAACGAAACACCTACCGTGAGAAGTCGTTCCCTGCGGTGGGTGCACGGCCCGCGCCAGAAACGCGCCCCCGGACGGGATCCCGG